AAGTTAGTATGCAGATATAGCATGTAACCATGGTGTCATACAGCATGGAAACGGACCCAATGGTCCAACTATTCCATTCTGACCACAATCCCAAACTAAACGAGTCCCATCTTCCTGCATTTGGCCCACATCACTCCAAACCTTTCGAATTTGTGTACTTATCTAAATCTCTTTTAAACATTGTAACTGTAACTGTACCTGCACCTACCATTTCATCTGGCAGTTCATTCCACACACTGAGCACACTCTATTTTAAAGAAAAGAAAAGTTACCCCTCATGTCATTTTTTAAATCTTTCTTCTCTCACTGTAAAAAATATGCCCCCAGGTTTTGAACTCATCCATCTGAGGGATAAGACCTTTGCTATTTACCTTATCTAAGCCTCTCATGCTTTTACAAACCTCTTTCAGGTTACGCCTCAACCTCCCACCTTCCGGTGAATGAAGTCCCAGCCTATCCAGCCTATTTTTACAACTCAAACCCTTCTTTCCCAGTAACATCCTTTTTTTTTCTGAACCCACTCCAGTTTAATAATATCCTTCCAATGACGGGACTACCAGAATGGCACACAGTATTCCAGGAGAGTCCTCACCAACATTCTTTACAACCTCCAACGTGACGTCCTAACTCCTGTACTCGAAGACCTGAGCGATGAAGACAAGTGTGCTGAATGCCTTCTTAACCACCCTGTCCACCTGTGAAACAAATTTCAAAGACAAATGTACCTGAAAGCCTAGGTTCTCTGTTCTGTAATAGTACCCAGGGCCCTACTATTAATTATATAAGTCCTGCCCATGTGAAGTATTCCATTTTGGATAAAACAAACATTTACTCAAATAAAGTTCAATCTGCCACTCTTTTTAGCCCATTGACCCAATTGAGCAAGATCTCGGTCTAATCCAGAAAGCCAATAGGCTGTATGCTTTATTATCACAGGAATTAAACATCAATGTGAGGATGTTCTGCTTCATTTGTACAGGGAAGGGAAGAGACCAAATCTCAAATACCACGTGCAGGTTTTGGTCGTTTGTACGCTTATTCGAAGTCGTTCAGAAAAGGTTTACTGGATTGAAACCTGGAATAAGTGGGTTGTCTAAGGAGGATAGGTTGGGCAGGTGAAATGGAATAGGATTAGGCTAGAACTGCTGACTAAAACAGTAAAGTAATATGATGTGAGCCAGGATATAGGGTGTGGTGA